GACCAATAATGTCCCACATATGACCCAATTTTCCAAATTAGGCCCAAGCCTTTCCAATGGGCTTTATCCTAAAGCCTAATCCAAATATTATAGTCCATATACTTGTTCTTGGATGACCCATTAATAGCCCAATCACTAAAGCCCAACAAAAAAGGCCCAAGCAAAATTAGGGTTTTCATATAAAATGATGATTAGGGTTAAGTGTTATTACTTAAACCATTAATTCTATAATCTTACTAGGTAAATCATACGGTGTGATCGGGTGTAATTCATAATTCAATTCCAATAGCCTAAAACACGGGTCTCGATAAGTCCAAACCAACAAATCAAAAATTAGGGTTTTATAAACCCTAATTAGGGTTTCCAATCCAATTGTGTGCCCATTAGTCAAATGGTTAGGTTTTTATGTCAATTAGGACTTCATTAGGTCAATTAGGGTTAAATAAGTCGAGCACCACCCACTACCACCTCGGGTAGTGATAATGTTTGTTTTGTGCATATATTTATGATATTTTCTTATTATTTTATACTATTTTTTATATTATTTATAACTAAAAGATACTTAATATGATTTGAAATATTCAATTACAGTTGAAATGGGAGCCGAAATGCAAAAGGAAGAGAATGGAGTTGAAAAGATGCAAAAAGGATATTGTTGGCAGATTGACCCCTCTTCAGTGCATATATATGATGACTCATAAGTCCAATTGACAAGATTCAAAATGTTCTATAAACTAGACGAAATTTCCTACGACTTATGTGACAGGACCTTTTTGCTAATTCGACATTTATCTTATCCAAAATCGGCCTTGAAGATGAAGCATAAAAGCTGGATGGAAATTCCCTCCAAGTTACTTATTCCCCAAGCATCACTTACCTTATTTTTATTTGCTTAATCCCTAAGCCACCATTATTTTCCTTATTCCAATCCAACTCTAATATTCCATATTAATTCCATCTCCCTTCAACTATAAATACCCCATATCATTCCATCATTTTCATCATCTATGATATTCCACTTCGACTTGTGAAACAAGAAAACTTCATAGCTGCTGTTTTGAGGGTCTAGAAGGCGGCCAGAGGGCCGTTAAACTAATATGGAGCAAAGATCTAAGGGATTGGAGATCGAATTCATGTCGATAATCATGTGGTTTGTTATCGTGACTATGTTTAGCAATCCATTGTGATTTCATTATGTGTTTACTTTCTAATTTGGTATTAAAACCATTTGCTTTGTGTTTATGATTAGATAAAACCTTGATTTATAGATTAATTGCTATATTGGATTGTTTTATTTATGTTTAATTTATCTTGTCAAGCTTGTTAAAAGATCCTTGTGTGTTAATGACAATTATTTTCTATTAATTATTAACTATATTGAGTTGCATGAACATCTGCTTGATTGTTTACCTCTAATGATTTTGATGACCATCAAGATTATATGCCTAGGAATAGTGAACATGAAACTAAGGTTAACTAGGAAAATAAGTAAATTAATGTGTGAGCATGTGTGATGACCAACAACATATGATTTAATTGAACCAACCAATTTGATTAACTATTATTACAAGTCTTATTTGATACGAACCGAACACTATGAAACATGTAAGTTTAATCAATTTATCATTGTTTGAATCGACTTGTTTGCTAAAGGATTAGTAATAATGAACATGAACCTAATCATTTTAGAAATCGGTGAACATGAATAAATAAATCTGTGTGTGCAATTATCTATGATTTTAAGGTGTAATTTGTCTAAACCAAAGTACCTAAAGAGATTTGTCTTCTTGTATGTTTATCAAGATTTGCTATTTAGTTATCCATTTGTGATTTAATAAAACATTTATTTATTCCTTTCGTGTGTTTTGTAACCTATAATCAAATATTTTAAATTAATTCACTACCGTTCCCCTTGTGTTCGACACCCTTGCTTATCAAAGCTATACTATACTCGATCGAGTTCACTGCCTGTAAGGTGTGGTTTAGATGCGATAAATTAGGAATTATAAATAAAAAACCAGTGCATTAAATATTCACATCGGGTAGTGGTGGTCAATGGCAGCTCACGGTGGCGGCCATCACCTCGTAGTGGTGGTTATGATTTTTGGCTACATATGTCCAAGCATCTAAACTAACAATCGAATCACACAGTGCATACCGCCACCCAACACGACGGCTGGTGGCGGTAAAAGGCGGCAGCCACCACGTCACGGTGGTGGTTATGGGTTTTTTCTTGATTATTCCAGCCAAGATAAAATGGTACAACATACATACAACAAATATCCAAAAATAAACACACACAATAAAATACACACACACAGCCACCCTTGTGACGGCAGGCAGTGGTAGAGGGTGGCAACCACCACTTCATGGCAATGGTGGTGGCTTTTCTTGTGAAATCCGACCAAGATAACCACAACCACAACACACACTAACAGTAGAACATAGACACGCGTGCCCGCAACAGTAACACCACCACCCACCTAGTGGTGTACAACGGCGACAATGGGCTGAACTTGCAAATGGCAACAGCGCTAGCGGCCGATGGACCTACATCTATGGATGACGGAGAAGAGACGCGACCCAACACGAGCAACAACAACAACCTCCACGACTGAATTAACGATAACGACGATCTTCGTCTTCGTTGGCAGTACCCACGACGACAACAACTACGAGTCAGAAAGGAAACGAGAGCAGTCAGGCCGATACCACAGCGAACAACAACAAAACTAACCGTTGGTGTTAGCGGCAACTTCGTCTTCAACGATTGGGCACAGCGGCGACAGCTATGCAACAATGGGAGGAGGTTGTAGTGATGATTGTAGGGCAGTGTAACGAGAAAACGCCGACAGTAACACGCACAACTTCGTTTCCCGGTGGTCCTCTTTGTCGCCGACAACATGAGCTTCAACAGTGGTTTACAACTTCGACCGTAACATGTATCGGTGCCGGAGATCATATAAAGGTGGGTGGCGACTGGTGTAGGATATTAGGATTAGGGTTATGGACACAAGGTGTCGGGTTTATAAGTCCTGATCAATTCAAACTTTGATCCATAATGACATTTTTAGTCCTTCATTCTCTTTTTTATTTCAAATTAAATCCAAATGTTACCAAATGGCCCCTCCTCTACAAAACCTTTTCAACTTAGGTCTAGAATTTACTCTTTAGCCCCTGCTTCCATAAATCCTTTCATATTAAATCCAAGCGATAGCAAACACCTCCTGAATTCTGAAACTCTTTACAAAATAAATCCTAAAATTACACTTTAACCCCCCATGAAGATTCAAATCTTGTCATTTGGATCCCTGAAATTAACACCCTGCTAACTATTATTTGATTTTAGGGCCATTTTTAAAAAATATAAAATATAAATTTACATCTCGGGGTTCCGGGTTTATTATTTAATTACTTTATTTCAAACTGGATGTTACAGATCCTGCTATTACTTCTTGTCTTATCGGATCGGAGGGGAGTTTTTGTACCATGTCCTCAGGGTGGTCGGGTAACTCAGGGGGAGGAAGTCAAGATTCTTTCAGATGCTTTTGTGGGTATGTTACCTTCTGTTTTCTTTTAGGTTGTTGTGAGGAATCTGTATTATGTTGGAATTTTGCTTGGGTTTGAGTAAGTTATATCTCGGGTTAATTTTCTGTCATTATCTGGGTATATTATCAAGGATTGTGATATGTCATTCTACATGCTGAGAGTCTTCAATGAATCTTTAGAGGGTTGTATCTTGTTGAGTGGGTTTCAGCGTGTTCAGTTGTTGTTTCGAGTTTGGTCGGGATCAATGCAGGGGTATTGTTGGGAGGATCATTGGTCAGGGTTCAGTTGTTTCATCTTTTGACCTGGTGGGATTGGCAGTCGTCTATGGAAGAACTTTTGGGGTTCAACACTACCATTGATAGGAGATGAGCGGTAGTAGGAAGATGGTGGCGTCAGTGCATGAGTTGATTGATCATTGGAAATGTTAAGGGAGTCTTATGTTACCATGGGTTATAAATGGTTAGAATTCAATAATTCTTTGAGGATGGAAGTTGGGGTAAAGATTCGCCAGTTTAAAACAAGGGTTATGGTTTTAGTCACCAACATAAGAACTCAAGGAATTGGTATGGTATCATGGGAAGTGATTTGAATTATCAGACTGGTTAAGGTCTCAAGAGCATTCTTCCAGATTTCAGAAGTTGGGTGATCATTGAGTTGGATAGTAATGGAATGTTGGTATTGAGTAGCTTACAATTTGTATTGTGATTTTAGGTGCGTCTGATTCCAAAGGGAAGGGCCCGGCTTGATGACGCATGATCCACTCTCTACTATTTTCCTCATTCACTGAGATTGACACTCTGATGATTTTGTATGACGATTATGTATTGGATTTTTTGTATCAAACTTATGGATATAAACCTTGATTAAAAATGAAAACTTATATCTGGATTTTTGGACTATTGCAACTTTGATATCCTTTTTAAACACATGATGCAAGAAAGCAATGCCTCCGTTATAAATGATATATTATATATAGATTGAAGTCATGACTCGTGAATAAGAAAACTAATCATAATGGATTCTCTCCATAGATTATGATAGCAACTCCAACAAATATTTTTATACAACCTTAAAATGAATTTAAACAACCATAAACTTTAGTAACCTAGTTTTACATGATCCTAATTAAGTACTTGAAAAAATGCATTAACAATTAATAACCTTTTGAATAAAACTAAATGATTATAAACTTTAAAAAAGCAAAATTCACAATAGTGTCTAAATAGTGACACCTTTCATCCATAATTTCATATTCTCTAAAAACTGTCCACATGAAACATGAAAAAAATATGTTGCCAAGCTAGAACCAACTTGCACCGCCCTAATTTTTTCTGGGTCCTTCTATTATTTTCAGTTTACCCCTTCACTTTTCGATATTTTCAAATTCGCCCCTTTCTTCCCCACCATTTCCAAACAAAGAACGCGTGAGACACACAAACAGGATACGTATAGATAGGTTAAGAAGGCCTGTCATCTATCTTCTCTTTCATCATCGATTCATAATTTATTCACAAGATACACAAAATCCATACGAAACGTCCATATTTCCGCTCTTGCACGATTGCTTCTCGTCGGAATCAGATTCGCTGAAACATACACGAAAGACTTGAACTAGGGTTTTGACAGGGAGGGAATTCGAACGATTATTTTGGTTTTGAACAGTAATTATGGCAAAGAAGAGAAAATCTCTTGCGACGAGTCTAGACGAAGTCGATCGGACGATGTACTCAACGTTTTGCAGTGCCGCTAACTCTCTTTCTCAGCTTTACTCCCAGGCCCTTAGCCACCAGAAGCTTTCTTTCCTATCTGGCGAACGTCATGGATTGGTATTTTATAATCTCCGAATTCATTTCTAATTGTATGATGATATGTGTTGATCTTATTAAGTGACTTATTAAACCCTAGTTTTCTCAATTTTCATTTCCTTTCTGTTTGCGTATGCTAATCTATGTACATGTCCTCGATCTTCTCTTGAATGTGGTAATGATTTGTGAAAAATTTTTAATTAGGGCAGGGGTTAGGAAAAGTTTAAGGTCCTTTTTCTTGTATTTAATGCTCGTAGTTAGTTCACAAAATGCACTGGGCATAGCAAATAAGTGTTGAAAATTGAAATAACCTAAGATTATTAAGTCATCTTTATGGTGGTTTTTGAACCAGAGAAAGCAAAGGTATAACAGAATAACAGATGACAATACCAGTGTGGTAAACATAAAAGAGAGGGAAGGTGTTTATTGATACAGAGAATACATATGAAGCAGTGCTTAAAGAATTGTTCTGATTGTCTTTTGATAAGAAAGAAAGCTTGTTTGATGTATGTGCATATGATTGAGGATTTTAAATGTGGTCACATTTATGAAAATTAAGCATAAACGTGCTCACATTTCTCGTTGATGTTTGTTTAAGCAGATTTTGCTAATGATTTGTTTATGCAGGAAAAGCTGTATCAATGGATTTCCAAGCAACATGGGGAAGGATTGAGAGTGACCTCTGATGACATACTAGCCTATATCCAGGTTTCCATTTCATATTCAGTATTCATTATTTATCAAGTTGTCCATGAATTACCTTCTTATATATACTTTTGATGTTAATTTACAGGCTGAGCTGGAATCATATGTGGAAGAGCCATCAATGACTCCAAGAACCTTACAAACACAACAACACACACAACCACAAGCAGCAGCTTCAAACCCATTTACAAATTCAAATTCTGGTTCATCCAGTGAGCAACAATGCCAACAACAACAACAACAACCAAGAAGCTACATATTCTCAAATGCTCTCTCAAGCCCTGTTCGTCGCAGCCTTCAAAACTACCACATCTCTCAAGAAGGATATGCCAAGAACACCAACAATGAACATCACAATCCTTCTTCTTCAATGGACATGCATCCGGACTCTTCTACTCAATAATACTAATAATAATAATAATAATATGTTTCTCCTTTCTTCGTTCTCCTAATTTCCAAATTTCAATTCAAGAAAAGAGACTGGAGAGAGGAGGGTGTTATTGCACAAGCCTAAATAGTGAGCAAGCTTGGGGTTGGATTTCGGTTGCTTCATCAAGGTAAAGGTAAGGTAGGTCTACTATTATTATCATTACTATTACTATTATTATTACTATTACTGCTACTATTACTGTTATGGTTATGGTGGGATTTCAAAGGAATATATTTATAGCATTGTCATGTTGCTAGTTGTGCACTGTGGATCATCTTTTCATGTTTATGTAAAAAAGTGAACCATCAGATTCAAATGTTTTCTTTTTATTTTCATTTTTCCGAGTATCCTTGAATCTGTTTAATAGTTATGGGGTCCAAATCCAAGGCTTTTTTTGAATGGTTTAGAAAAAAACTAGAAGCATTGATTTGTGTGGTTGAGATGCTAGGTTTGACTTTTGTTTGTTGAAATTGGGTTTTAGGTTTATGGGGGTGTTGGAAATACATGAAGGATATGTTGTAAACAAGCATGTAAAAAATGTGTGGAAATTTTGTTTAAACAAAGTTGTGAGTAAACGTATAGAAACTAAACAAGTGTGTACAAAATGTGTTGAAACGAAGTTGTAGTAGTAGGTCATGATGATTTAATGTAAACATTGAAACAAGTTGGATTTGAAAAAACGAAAAAGGTTGGGTAACATGAAAACTTGTAGCATGTCAAGCAGAAACAATTTAAAAGACCTTAGAAAGCTAAAAAATATATATATAATTCTTTATCATTACTAGATTGCTTTACGTATAAGATATTGGTATCAAGTTTTTTAGATTTTCAAAGAACTTATGGTTCTCATGGAGTCTTGTTAAGGCCAAAGATCGATTTCAAGCTCAATGACTACGAAAATGGCTGACAGAGAGTCAATCCAATCTTCAAATATTTAGAAATATCTTTTTACTATAATTTGAAAGAAATCAAAACTTTACGATATCTCTTAACTCCAGAACCGTTAAAAGTCAACATGGTAAAAATGTTGGACACACCATAACTTAACAAAATATGACATGATATCATAAAAATTTCAAGTAACAGAAAATCTATAAACCATATGTTTTCAAGAGCACTATGAAATGTAGTTGATGGATAGTTCATTGATAGTTTCAACGTGAGGATTATTGTCGTTCAGTTGACCTTGTGATTCTAAGGCAGTTGCGAGTTGCCACTTATGACTAAGACCACCAACAACAATGCATGATTTACTAAAATAGTTGAATGGAGTTGAATGTTTAGTGGACACTTAATGGATTAAATCCACTCATACTGGATGATAAGTTGTCATTTAGTTGATTTGAAGTTTAGTGACTATTAAACCTTTTAATGGGAAAAACAACTTTTTAAAAACTTCTATTGAAATTTGTAAAATTCAATGCACTATAGGAATTAATAGTAAAATAGTAAAATTGTATGAAAAATAATAGTAGAATAGTAAAATTGTATATATCAATTAAATAAAATTCAACTTAGTAAAATTCAATTTAATAAAATTCAACTTAGTAAAATAGTAAAATTGTATATATGGTATAATAAAATGTAACTTAAAAAAATTCAACTTAATAGTAAAATAGTAAAATTGTAGGAAAAATAAAATACTAATGTATAAATTTATTAAACTTAATAAAGTTAACTGTCTTTTAGATGCTATTTGTGATTAGCTGACAAACATAAAATTCATCTTTTTGATTAACATTCTAAGGGTTTGGCATGTATTGCCACATGCTTATTGTAAACGTTTTAAAACAAGTTATGCATGTAAATATTAAAATTCCTATGCACATTTATTTAATTATATAAGAAATAAATACAAAATTGTTGATGTCGACTACTATATATATATATATATATATATATATATATATATATATATATATATATATATATATATATATATATATATATATATATATATATATATATATATAAGATTGAGTTTTTATAAGTAATAAATGGTATATTTTAGAAAATATTGAAAAAAACCAATAAACTTATTGAAATGTCAATTTGAAATAACATTTAAAAAATTATCCATTTTGAGAACTCTATTTTTAAAATAAGTTTCTTTGAAGAAAACAAAGATGTCTATTTGAATTTTTTATATACTTTAAAGCCTATTAATTTTATTGTTTAATTTGTTGTGAAACATCGATAGATAAATGGGTTTGACCGATTATAAATATTGACATTTCACATTTGTTGGCATATTTTTCTATTAATTTATTTTATGTTTTATATGTTATGGATTGATTATAAGTTTATAATTAAATAATATACCGCTTACTCAAAATATAATTTGACTTATTGAATATTAACTTTGAAAGAATGTTTCTTTTACAAGTATACACTCCTAATCATTAACCGTAATTGATTATTTATTACATTATTTAGTTAAAGTTAAGGAGGAGGATACCCTTAAATGATAAGTATTTTAATTTCTCTTAATTTAAATGTATGATACCTTTTTTTGTTAATATATCCCTTTATGTATTATGCGACAATTTGACATACATTTATGTTCTACATTATTACTGGAAAAAAAGACAAAAATTTACGTTTTATTATTCAGTCAGTAAAAATTCACTGATCGACAACCCTTCGTCCGTACATATATATACAGACACGAAAGAGGAGTGAATACAATAGCGCAGTTTTCTTTGTTTCAGAGGATTCTCCGGCAATCGGAGGCAAATGGAATATTTTCTCCGACGAGAAGGCGCCGACATATGAGCTGAGTAAAATTTACTCCATTGCTACTCTCTGATCCGTGAGTCCTAATCTCCGTCCACCCTATCTATAAATTCGTTTTCAGTTTTCCGAATCACGAGTTTCGTTGTACTTTTTCACTTTAAATCAATTAGGATCTTCGGTTTTCCTACAAATTAATGGATGTGATATGAATTGTTCCTTTTGTTAATTACCTCTGTTGAATCCGATTCCATATTTTAGATCGCAATTTCATCGAATCTTCAGGATTTAATTTTTGATTTTTTTCTCCAGAGGTTCATAACTTCATATCACGGAATTTGATCTTACTGCCATTTCGATTTCGAAGATCAAAAACCTCCTAATCTGCTTTTGACCATAGATTCATTGCTTTGACTGGTATTGACCTTTTGTAAAGCATTTCAAATCATTCAGTTGAAAATTTTCAATCGAATCTGCTCTGTTGCCGGAGTTTTTGACTTAACTTTCACAAGGATATAAGGATCTCGAAATTCGAATTTGATAAAGTTCAGTTTTCCTTTTCCGCATCAAAACTTTGTTGACTTTCATGAAGTTGTTTGAGTTCTTTCATACTAGTATATACAGAAGTTCACATGATGAGTAGAACTGATGCTACCGATAGTGAGTTGTTCTTCATTCTTTCAACTATAGTAATGGTTTGAACCTTCTTCTACAATTGATCTGGAAAGAGAAGAGGAAGAAGAAGAAGCTCATGAGAGTTTCCCCCACTGAATCACTACCAGTTGGTGGACATAAAACCAGATCCTGACCTCCAACTGGCTTCAACAAAGAGCCATCTTGTCCATGGCTGCACCTCCTTTATTTGCTTTGGTCGTGCAGCCACAGGACTTGAGAGCAGTCCATCTCACCTGAAACTAGACCCTTCCCTCCACCCACAACCACAACCACAACCACAGGATGATCTTAAACATTCTCCTGATTCTGAAAAGGTCACCAAAACCTGTACCACTGATCTTGATCTTGATAACTTTGAAAACAAAAATGGAGATGGTTTAAAGAGCAGCTTAAAGAGACCAAAAACGAGTGTTATTACTTCTGTTGATGTTAATGGAGGTGAATGTAAGAACGAGTGTGGTGATACAGAAACAAGAAAAGTGCAATGGACAGATGTCTTTGGGGGAGAGCTATTTGAAATTCGTGAATTTGAGCCAAGGTACATGAATTTAGATTTTTATGTATATGTAAAATTTAAGTAATTACATTGTAGCAACAAATATTTGATCTTATGAGTGAATATTATATGGTATAATTGCTTGATCTTCATATTGTTTTCTTTGATGTTCTTTGATTCACATTTCTGCTCATTATTGTAGTGAACACGATGGCTCAGATGATGAATCTAACTGGAATGAAGGAACATGCACTTGCATGATAATGTAATTTGTACTCCACCACCACCACCACCACCACCACCACTACCACAATCAACAGCATCACCGCCAATACAGCCGCCACTCACATATCTACATCTGTCTATATATCATTACTTATGGAGTTCAGTTTTGTTTATTTAAGGGCTTTCCCTTTTGTTTATGTCCTTATAGGCAGTTGTGTTCTTTGTTTCAAAATAATGTACTGTTTGATTTCCATATTTTATTTTATTTTTGTGTTAATTTGAGAGTAGGTTTTTGTTTTTTATTAGATTTTATGTAATGGGAATTTTGAGAAAGTTTAAATTTATGTAGCAGTTAATGTTATTGGTTACAAGTCCTGTTCCTAACATGTGTATGTTTGGTTTTGTGAGCTTTTAAATTTAAAAAAAAAAAACTCAGATTAAAGAAGAAGAAAAGTTCGGGAGTATGATGAGTTTAAAGTTTTTTATTCTAAACAAAAATCTAATAATCCAAAAGTTTCTTAAAAAATCTTTTGAAACCTTTTAAATTTTAGATTTTATGTTACTTTATACATTTTAAAAAGCTTAAATGTATTTTATATTTTATGTTATTTTATAGTTTTTATCTTCTGCGAGCTAGTTTTGCCAAAAATACTCAATATTTTAGTTTTCAAGTTTTTGGTTATTTGTGATAAAAAGATATTGGTGATCGAAAGTTAAAAATACTATTATACATTTTGTAAGACACCAAAAATACATTTTCAAAATGACAAAAAAAATGAAATGTGCTCCTATTTTGCATAGAAACCAAAAAGAATATGTTGTTATTGTTATATATATATATATATATATATATATATATATATATATATATATATATATATATATATATATATATATATATATATATATATATATATTCATGAGACTTTTAGGGGTTTTTTAGGATAATAGTTTATCTAAAAATGAAAAGACTTGTCAAATGTCAATCTTAGAAAACTTGGCCACATCTTATCCGCAAAACACTAGTGATTCTAACAACAAGTACACCTTCCACAACCCCCCTTCCCTTTTCATGACCAAAAACAAAACCCTAAATTCATTCACAAGATTCAGAAAATGTCGGTAGCTTCAATCCAATGCATCAGAATATCAAATTCGTCATTAAACGCACATACTTTTAGATTCTCTACAACCAAGCCTACAATAGTTACTATACGCAGCGCTCAAGCCGATGGCCCTTTGCGAAGACCTTCCATTGCTACTCCGCCTGTAAGACCTTCCATTCCTCCGTCCCCATCTCCGAATCCACCACCACCTCCGTCAGCTCCGGCTAAGCCTTTGGCGGAAACAACGGCGGTTGGTCAGAATGTAATAACGATGGAGTTTCAGAGGCAGAGGGCGAAAGAGCTTCAGGAGTATTTTAAGCAGAAGAAGCTTGAAGAGGCTAATCAAGGGCCTTTCTTCGGTTTTATTGCCAAAAATGAAATTTCAAATGGCAGGTTTGTTTCATCTCCTCTTAATTTTACCTCCAAATAAATAAAATTATGATTTTAATTTTATATGTT